GACCTGTTGCCTACCGGCTTGCCTTGCCTCCGAACCTGACCAACATCCACGACGTGTTTCACGTGTCTCAGCTTCGGAGGTAGATAACAGATCCTTCGCACGTGGTGCAACCGGATGATGTGGAAGTTCGGGAGAACTTAAAGACTCCTGTCGGACCACTAAAGATTCTCGATCGTGGCGAGAAGCAGCTGAGAAGCAAGATCATTCCGATGGTCAAGGTGCAGTGGACCGGAAGGACTCCTGAGGAGTGTACTTGAGAGCGTGAGGACGAGCTTCTCCGGCAGTACCCCGAGTTTCGACCAGGTATGTTTCTGATTTTGAGGTCAAAATCCTAAAAAGGTGGGGTGAATGTAAGAACCCGCACCGTTAATTAAGATATTTAATTAATAAATTACGAGAAAATAGGAAATGATTCCATAATTGACCCTAATAATTATTTATGAGGCTTAATAATCGTAATAAGTGATTAAGAATGCTGAAAGTCGCTTTTCGGAAGAAAAGTGCAGATACCGGTTCTGCTAGTCGGTATAAATGCGTACCGAAAAAGTATCCCGGAAAATTAATGTAAGTGCATGATAATTACTAGAATAATATGTAGGACTTGTAAAACGAGTTTCAAGTCCAGATAATGAGAACTGGTGCTAGAAACCGGTACTGGCTTGGAAAAGCGCGTACCGGAAAAGTGCTCAGAAAATTATAAGAAAAATATGATAAATCTTAGAAAATTATGTAGTTTCATAATCCAAAGTTTGGGATTAAAATGCTAAGTGTAACAATTAAAGTTAATACTGTGTGTTTAAATGTTAAGTGGCTATATATAGGCTTGTTAGCACAAAACCCTAGGCCATAACACATTCTCTACGTGAGTCTTGGGGCTGGCCAACTGCTGAGTACTGTTCCATTGTGTTCCTCTTCCATTTCTTGAGCTTTGAGGCAACTTCCTTCACAAATCCTTCTTCTAAACACTTGGTGTGGGGTGAGAGTAGCTTTGGGGCTGTGTTGTTGACCCTGTTCTGTGTTGAGGTTGCTGTTTGTGAGTGTTGGAGGGGCTGTCCTCTTGAGTTGAGGTGGTGAGAGTCTTGCTCTTGGCTTGTGAAGCTCCAAGGAGCTTCCTTTGTGTGGAAAGGGCCAAGCTTTGGTAGCATTTTCGTGTACCCTTCAAGTCAGACTTGGAGAGGCAGAGTGTGGAGCTCCAAGAGCCTTTACTTCTGAGTTTTGAGCCTTGGTATGTTGTTCCAACCTTTAACTTGAGTTCTAAGGCTTAAAAATGGTACCTTGATGCATCTAATGGCTAAAAGATGATAACTTGTTGTTGGGTAATGTTGAACACACCTAGAAATGCATGTTTAGGTGTTTAAAATCGGTAAAAACCCAACCTTGGAAGGATATCTTCACGAAATGCAGTTTCTGCATTCTGTCGTGAAATATCTGGATATCTGCCCGAACAATATCCGGATATGTGATATCCGGATATGGGTTTTGAGTATCCGGATATTAGATATCCGGATATGGTCCCGAGGAATATCCGGATATTCTTGGATTTCGAAGAACATCAGTTGTGTTGTGTGTACAGTAGGCTATTGGGGGTTTATGGACCCTAGTTTGATGAAGTTGAACTTCTGTATTTAATGGATTAAGCCAGAATCATGGGATTAAGGGCTTGTGGCTTTGTTAGAAGCTTTAAGACTTGAAAACGTAATGAAAAGGCGTTGTCTTAATATTGTATGCTTGTGGTGCATGTTGTTGATGTATTGTTGGTCCATAACAGATTGTGAATCTGCTGTGTTTGGACTTTGAGCTGTGGACTCTTGGCTTTTGGAGTTAGCTTGCAAGGTAAGCTTTCGTGCCCTCGGTTTAGCCATGTTGTGGTTCCACCATGTCCCATGGGGGTATGGTTTATGCATGCTGTGTACATGCTTTTGGATATTTGATATGTTGATTGAACTTTACATGTAATGGCTTTTAATATGCATGTGTTGTTTCATCTTGACGGGAAGTCTGAGTATGTAGCGACATACAAGACGGTGTACCGGGGTGAATGCAAATGGTACTTGCATGGTGTGTAGGTGATAGACGTATACCTGCACTGTCTCTGGCCAGTAGATTAGTGTTGACACACATGACATGATTATTTGCTGCATTGCATTGTTTTGAAATGATAAATGATAAACTGCTTTTGAACTTATATTGCACATGTAAGTGAGCTTGGGGTGGACGATCCTTGAGGACTCACTGACTTACTGAGATTTCTAGATTAGAGATCTTACCCCACGTTTGGGGAATGCTTATTTCAGGATTAGGTAGTATGGGTACTGATGCCTCAGGCGGCGGGAGGCCGGAGCTTAGCTGATTTTGTTGTTTCTGCTTAGTTGTTAGCATGACTGGATTTGGATGCTGTTTATGTTTTCCGCTATTTATGATATGATGTTGTTGAGACTGATGTTGGGCATGTTGCCTTATTTGAGTGAGCATGGAGATTGTCCATGACACTTTCTGTTAGTACTTTTAGTTTGGAGTTGTACAAACTGTTAGATGGTCGGTCTACGTTGTTGTAGTTCTGTGACTAGAGCCACACTTATATTATCTATGTTATGAGGTATTTCAGTTAGCTATTTTATTGCAATTACATACAGGCGATGTTTTATTAATTGATTATTAAGCAAGTTGGTAATGTTAATGGCATCATAATTGAAAAGAAAAAGTAATTCCGCATTTTAATTAACCGCAGCTTAATACGATATTGTGATAACATTACCGGATATATACGGGGTGTTACAAGGTCCACTAGAGATCAAAAATTGTTGAAGAAATAACAAGATGTTTCTTTTGTTCTTTCTAGGCGATCGAAAAAGAAAGAAATAGTTAATATATTCAAGATAATTATGTATTTACAAAAAAACGTCTCAATCCATCCTATTTCTAAAAATCCAGGATGTGATATGGTTCCGAAAATTGGTTTCAATAATATTTCATTCTTGAACAAAAATATAATAGACTTATTGGAGGGGGTCCCATTGGTATGCATCCAGTAGGAATTGAACCTACGAATTTGTCGATTATGAGTTGGGCGCTTTAACCATTCAGCAATGGATGCTTAGTGGGGATCCTCATACATGGTGAATAACCAAATTTCAATTGAAGTGAAATCTTTCGGATAAATCAATGCAATTTAGGAGGATTCGATGAAAGGACATCAATTCAAATCCTGGATTTTTGAATTGAGAGAGTTATTGAGAGAGATCAAGAATTCTCGCTCTTTATTAGATTCATGGACCCAATTCAATTTAGCTGGATCTTTCATTCACATTTTTTTCCTTCAAGAGAGTTTTATAAAACTCTCGGACTCCCGAATTTGGAGTATCCTACTTTCACGCAATTCACAGTGTTCAACAAGCAATCAATATTTCAAGATCAAGGGTATAATACTCTTTGTAGTAGCGATCCTTCTATATTGTATTAACAATCGAAAGATGGTCGAAAGAAAAAATCTCTATTTGATAGGGCTTCTTCCTATACCTATGAATTCCATTAGACTCAAAAATGATACATTGGAAGAATCTTTTTAGTCTTCCAATATCAATAGGTTTATTGTTCTGCTCTTATATCTTCTAAAAGGAAAAAAGATCTCTGAGTGCTCTTTCCTGGACCCCAAAGAGAGTACTCAGGTTCTCCCAATAACTAAAAAGTGTATCATGCCTTAAACTAACTGCGGTTCGCGCTGGTGGAGGAACTGGATAAAAAGAGAGAGAGTTTCTAGTTGTAAGAAGATATCTAATGATACCGTCGCTGAAATTGAGATATCATTCAAAGAGAAAGAGATCAAATATCTGGAGTTTCTGTTTGTATATTATACGAATGATCCGATCCGCATTGGGAATTGTTTGATTGTCTTTCTTAGATGAAGAGGCGAAACATAGTCAACTTGAATTCAGGACAATTATTCAAAATCTTAGCGAAAGACTGGATTTATTATCTCATGTTTGCTTTTTGTGAAAAAATATCAATTGAAGTAGATGGTTTCGCCAAACAACAAGAGGTTGGGTCAACTATTCAATCAAATGATATTGAGCATATTTCTCATCTCTTCTTGAGAAACAAGCGGGCTATTTCTTTGAAAAATTGTGCTCAATTTCATATGTGGCAATTCCGCCAAGATCTCTTCGTTAGTTGGGGGAAGAATTTGCATGAATCGGTTAGACAATATGTCATTGGTAAACAAGGATCGGTTTTTTAGAAAGGTACAAAATGTATCATCAAATATTCAATATGATTCTATGAGATCTAGTTACATTCAAGTAACAGATTCTAGCCAATTAAAAGGATATTGTGATCAATCCGGGGATCATTTCGATTCCATTAAGAATGAGGATTCAAAATATCACACATTGATCAACCAGTGTTATTACATTCTATTTGTGAGGCATGGTGTTAAGAATTTTTTATTTTTCCAAATTTCAAGTTTATATTAAATTTTTATGATTGATTTTTTAATTTTAGTAATGATTTTTAAAATATATATAATTTTCCCCTCACAAAAATTTCTAACTCTTCAATTGATTGTAATTTATATTTTTATTTCAAGTTATTAACCGAATTTAGGCAAAAAAAACTAATTTCAAAATTGTAATATTCTAATCACAACCAAACCCAACTATATCACATAGGCATCAAGTGACAAACCAAAATAAGTCCATCAAAAGTTGAAAATAGAGAAATTACATATAAAAAAAAATCAATTTGAATATTTTTAAGAGAGACAATTGATATCAATAAATTCTGGAACAAATTACAAATTAAACACGCTAGAATGTGCCAGGGCATGTTCACACAATGTTCATTTTCCTTCTCTCACATGGTTTTTTTGCTTCTTTTTTTTTTCTTTCTACAGGAAGCCTTAGAATGTCAAATAAACAAATTAATGAAATTTACAATAACGTTGATATTGAAATTACAAAAAGTGGCTGTGTTGTAACGATTCTAGATGAGTAAGGAGAAGACTCTCATCCACCACAATTGAAGCCATGACATGCAGAAAGAACAACTATAAGAATGAAGACAATTATGATGGCAAGAATTATTAGCTTTATTTTCATGTTCTGAAACCACATCTTTCTCCTTATCTGGTTTCCCTGCCCCCTGAAATCATCTGCCTGCAAAGCCATACAAATTGACATATACCAGTTATATCCCCGCATACAATTTTTATGTGACGTGCTCAGGTCAATTTAATTAGATGAAAGTTACTGAAAAGTACTTCAGCCACGACATTTTTCTTGACGTGTACATTATGGCTACAACTGAAACCCAACATGCAAACATTCTAAATGAGAAAGGTGTAGAATGGAAAGATATTACAGCATACAGGGTTGTATACGTAAAATTCATATACAATAATCATAAAGTTGGGAATGGTACAAGGAGTTCAAAACCTAGATAGTTTTCTTCCATCAACGAGTGGAATGATAAATCATAATAAATGAACTAACACTGCGTCTTAACCAAAAACCTTAAAATTAAAAGTTGTTGGGACTTTTATACTTATATGATTCTCATTTAATTCAAGTCTAATTGATCTGAGACTTCATCACGATTCATAATTGAAAATTTTCATAAAAATAAATAAATAAAGGGTGAGCATAACTTTTAATATAATTCTGAACAATCTAAAATCACATCTCCTTTCAATTTCTCATAAAATGATTTATTTAGTTTATGTAAAAACAATTAAAGGCACCTGTATTCGAAGGTTCTCAGTTTGATCAACCAAAACGTCAATCTTCACTTGACGATTGAGAACCTGCATACAAGGAATAGTATAATGCATTGGCCGCATATAATAACCTCAATCAATTAGATGATGGAAAATAGTGCTATATATACCTGATCAATATTTGCCCTCATAACTTCTTGGACTTCAGAAACCTGAGCTTTCACTTTCGCCAGTTGGCTAACCTCTTCTGGATGATCCACACAATACTGCATATGCTCCTTCAACTTGGGTCTAAACCATATACAACAAAAAAAACTTCATATTAATGCAATTTACAACAGAGAGGCACATTTACTTTACACAAATCAGGGTAAACATAAGTACCCAAATTCTTTGTTTAAGCTTTTAGCAGCGGCTGTTGCAGCTTTTCCTCCTCCATATCTATTGGTAAAATCCTCCTTGATGCGTTCAAGAAAGGCCATTGCAATATGGCGACCAACAGATTCCACTACCACAACACAATAAGCTAAAAACAATAGATCATGTGAGTCCAAGTGTCCAACTAATTATGGTAGAAACTTAAAGCAACATATAAATCCAAAGCATAAATTTCAGAAGAGGTTGACCATATTCCACTAACAATAAGCCATAATATTAAGCATTTTCAGTAAGTATAGATCATTGCACATTATTTTTCTTAAACCACAAAAGTTTGCATATAGAATATTATAAACCCTAAACAAATACTCAAGAGTTATTGTCTAGTGGCATCCTACTTAGACTTCAAAATGTGACCTGCCTAAAGGATAATGAGTTCAATTCATAAGAGTTATAACTTTTAAAGAGAGTGAAAAAGCTCAAGCTAAAATCCGAAATAATCGGGCCCATCAAGACTTTGGACACCTGTTGGTTTTATCAAACCAAATTGGAAATTTAAACTTTTGCTTCAAGAGAATAACTATCTCATAATTCTATCATGATTAATAAAAGGAGGATAAAACTCACGATCAAAATTCCAAATCAATTGATTTAAGATAATTATTATTATTTTTTTGGAAAATTAAGATAATTCTTTTAGATACTAATCGATGTCCGAAATCATAGTGGGTCCAATTAACCAATTTTCGGAGTTGAGTCTCTTCACATTTTCTGAAATTGCAACTTTTAAGAATTGAATCCACTATATATACTCGGTAGATCAAATTCTAAGACCTAATTAGAACTGCAATGGATCAACTAATCCTGGGTTAAGAGCATTTTTACCTGGTGATTCCTTCTTTATGTTAGTCATGGAATGAAAGTGTTTCAATCTCAAATATACAGTATCATGCACTTATAATAAAGAATCCCCACTACAAAAGTTATGTGCTTAGAAGGAAACTTCTTCTTATACATATTGATACTGCAGGTTTTGCTCTCATTCCTAATAAAATTGAAATCTAATGATGGTATGACAAACATGCTCCTTTTTTTGGATTGGGACTAACAAGGTAAAATTTTGTAATAAAATAAGGCTAAATTATTTGTAGGTCCTTATATTTTATTAAATTTATCTGGGCATGAGACAGATAAATTTATTCGAGCTAGGTATGGTCCCAAAAAGTAAGTATATGTTTTAGTTGTTGTTATTGTAACCCAAACAACAACATGATGTGGCACTGCACTGCATTGCATTGGCGTAGGAGGGTTTAACAATAAACTAACCAACACTTCAATAAAAAATAAAGCAAAATCTACAAGGCTGCTAAATTTAAAAATCCATATAACCCAAATGAAGACGAGTCAAGCAACTCCTGCGGCAAAACTTCATTCCTTTGTTATTTCACCATTCGAATATAAAATAACAGTAGATTCATCGAAACTGAAACCCGTATATCAAGACCGTTTCTACGTTCATTGAACAATTCAAACGTACACTACACGTAACAAAGAAGCGAACGACCAAGGACCAACCCCATCATTTTAAAAAAATAAAAAATTTAAAACGAAATAAACTAACGAAAATACAAGGTTGAATTTGATATATATTGAAAGATTCTAGACACTACGACATCACTCGTTGTGTCACGGGACGATTGTATATGTTCGTAGTTAATTTGTACATGCTGTTACTTATTTGACACCAAAGAATAAAATAACACAAAATTTATTATTATATATAATACTTTTGTATTGTGTATTATTTTGTGCTCAATATAAATTTAGGTTTGTTCTAAACCCAACCCATAGGTCCCACGTCATCATCTAATGCTAAGAAAGCAACTCAAACTCAAATGCTAAGGGATAGGGTCAAGTACACATCCTTAAAACCCTATTGTTTTATGGGCTTTATTTTTATTATGTTACATAACATAAAATCATCTTCCTACACACATAAATTTTATATGGGATCCACTTTAAATTTTTTCTCTTTTTCCTATTCTCTCTCCTCTCTCTTTCTTTTGTGAGAGTAGGAAGTTTGTTTTTATGTTGTGTTATGTAACAAAAACATTTCCCTTGTTTTATTTAGCATTAAGCCTCCTTCGTGTACCATGTTGGTGAATAACAAAAATTTAGAAATTTGTACATAAATTTCTTTTATGGTGGAAAATATTTCCAATACTCCCTTAATGAGTACTCCGAATATCCCTTCTTAAAATTATAAATTTTTTTAACCCACCCGACATAATTTATTATATCATTGGGTCTTATGATTAATGTTATATGAGGTACTTGATGCTCCATTTTTAGCAAGTAAATCCATCATTTTAGCAAATGAAAGCAAGAATCACACTAAAAAGTTGTGTTGAGAAAGCATGAAGAAGAAGAAGAGGAGAAAGAAACTACTGAATCCATCATGGGCGAGGTAATTGAAAGTGTGGCCATCGGTGTTGTAGGTGAACTTGGTGTTAGATGCTGGGAGCCTCTGTAGACACTGCAAGGCTATGTCAACAAAGTTTCCGGCGAAGTCCGTATGCTCCGCCAGGATCACCGTGCCGCGCGCCACGAAGCTGTATATAAGCGATTGCTGCCCCATGGGAACCAACTAATTAAGGTTCTAATACACAGAGAGAGAAAATAATAAAGAGAGAAAGATAAGAATATGGTTTGGTTTTGGCACTGTTAAGGAATTGTTGTCGTCTAAGAGTTTTAAGCTGAGGCAGGGAGCAGCAAAGCGTGTTTATGGACTATTGGTTTTGGCATGCTCGTTGAATCTCCAAGTTGAGATTTTATTATGGAAATGCCACGACGTAGACATGGAATATGAATTTTTCAAACTTTGAAAAACTGGGAAGTGGGAAGGGACAAGGTCAGAGTAGAGGAGTTATAGAAGAGCCCTTCCATTCTAGAACTAGGATTGTATTGAATTTATATTTTAATCTTAACACATAAACAATTCTAATGCACTTTGACTCGTGATTACTACTATCAGGCGGGTTACACCTTCAAAACTTTTGTGAATTTGCCGCCCTTGTTTGGCTAGTAATGCTTTATTATGACCGTTTAATCTAGAGGATTTTTTTTTTTGGGTTCGTTTTATTGCACCAGTAGACAAGTTATCTATATATATTGAGTCCAAAATGATTATGTCATTTTGAACCGAAAATCAAGGTATTTTTGTAATTATAATTTATTTCAGGGTTATAATAATTATTTTCATTATAATTTTTTAATTTTTCAACTCAAAACAATGTTGTTTTGGGAGTGAAGGTAGATAACTCATCTACATTTACTATAGAAATATTAAAGCTTTTTTTATGGGGAAGGATATACTTACTTTTTTTTTTTTATAAATAGGAAGGATATACTTACTACTGAAAAAGTTTATCACATTTACAACTAACTTAATCATCGTTGATTTCTGTTAATTTAACGATTATAATTTGGGAGAGGTTATAGTTACAATCTTTTTTTTTACAACCTCTTACAACCAACCTAATCACCGTTGATTTCCGTCAATCTAACAGTTATAATTTATTGGATTTATTGAGAATTAATAATTAATTAATAAATACGACCAAATAATTTTCAATAAGTTATAAGAGGAAGGTTATACTTACAATCTTTTTTTCTACAACCTCTTACAACCATATATCATAACCGTTGATTTCCGCCAATCAACGATTGTCATTTATTATGAATTAATTATTTCAGGGTTATAATAATTATTTTTCTTGAGACGAGTTAGTGCGAGTTAGGTTTAGTCACACTTAAAAATTTTCATCATTCCCTAAAGATATATTTGACGGGGAATCGAGATTCTCTACTGAACTACTCAGCACGTATTGCCAACTAAGCAACCTCCATTAAATTTTTCGTCCACGGTTTGAAAACTCCACAAAAAATTATTGATCGTCTACTCAATATGTTTGCATAAAGACTTTGGCAAAATGAACCGATCCATGAGTACGTGGGAATTGATTGTGACACTGAACTATGATGCACGGACACGGATACGGGACACGGGACACGACACGACACGCCGACACGTTAATTCTAAAAAATGTCATATTTAGACACGTTGGGACATGTTTTGATATTAAATAAAAATTTTAATATATAATATAATTTATATTTAATACATATGAGAATTCATAATAAGTCATATAACCAATTAAATATTTAAATTTCATAACATAAATATTAAAAAAAATCAAAATTGAAATAATTGATTTTAAAAATCTTAATATTAAATAAAATAAATTTATATTGATGAATAATATCTTGCAAATGAATTTAAAAAAGTGGCATGTTATTATTATACAATCTTACATTAAATGGGATCAATGATTTGCTTGTACGTGATGACTGATGACTCACATATCCACTAAATAAAAATCATTAAATATAAATAACATCAACCAAATCTTAGAGTATAACTTAAAAAAACATATTTATTTGAATGATTTATTATTTTATTTTTCCTTATAACTTAATAACATCATTATGTGGACATTTTCCATGTTCACTTTTCCGTGTGGGTATTATTATTCTCTGCTCCTTTCAAACGTAGGGCGTTGATCCTACGCAAACATAGAATACGAATACAGAACATTCTAGAAACCAACGCAACCCTCTTTCTCTCTCTCTCTCTCACTTTCCCTTCCCTATAATTTCTCTGTCCATTCATCTTCAATTTTACAACCCCTCTCTCTCTGGTTTTCGCTGTTTCGTTTTCCAAATCCTCCGTTTCTGAATCCCCTTTGAAGTTTGAGTATGGCATCGAAACGCATCTTGAAGGAGCTCAAGGATTTGCAGAAAGACCCTCCTACATCGTGCAATGCAGGTCAACCCTAAGGTGGGTGCAGAGATGCAATTGAAAACTTTCGGCGACCAGCGTCGTGAATCCAATTGAAAACTTCTGCTCCTTTTATTTGTAATTTTATTTTTATTTTTAGAAAAAAAAATGTAAAACGTGTCCCAAAACGTGTCCATATACGTTGACCGTGTGTCGGATACGGTCAAATCCGCGTGTCCTATTAGTCAAAATATCCTAAAAAATCAACCACGTGTCAGACGCGTGTCCGAATGTGTCCGTATCCGACGCGTGTCGGACACACATTTTTTCTCAAAAAAGGCGTGTCCGTGTTTCACAGACACGGACTATATGAGGATTTATTTTTAACATGTGAGACAAAATTTAGTCATTGTCACGATTCACTGTTATACCCACTAGAATTATAACACTGACGCAGATTATATTTTCTCAGAAACTTAAATATAACGCATGCCTAGTAAACTTCTAGGATTGTTGACAACTAAGTGCATGTTTGGTGTGATGTATAAGTTCTGATAGTATAAGTTTATATTATACGTTATGACATTTTCAGTTGTTTGGTGTGACCATCCTATAGTATAAGCTTATACAACAGAATCCCTTTATACATCAAAATGATGTATAACTTAATCAAGCCTAAGGGAGTGGGATTAGGCCTGATAAGGAGATGATGTATTAATGTTGCTTAAAAGTACAATTCCCAAGAACTAATATATCATTTCAATATTAATATATTAAAATAAATTTTTTAATATATTAATTTTTAAAATATTGAAAGATATTATCTTATACAATACCATACCAAACGCAAGATAATATTAAAATTTAATCAGGTTTTATACAATCAAATCTTATACTATCAGGCCTTATCCTATACTATGCACCAAACATGCCCTAAATTTTTTTTCCTTCGAGATAGTTTTTGTTCCATAGGTCTTGGGCAAAGTCAAACACCTGCTATTTAGACCTCTCCAAATGCACAGATATTTAGAATGATTCCAAATCCAAAGTGCCTTAACCCTACTACAAGAAAGCAGGAAATCAGGGTGGGGTTTTTTTTTTTTTTTTTTTTTTTTTTTTTGCATTCAGAGGCGGTTTAAACTGCTTCTAGTAACCCCATCAGGCGGTTCTCAAACCGACTCCGTTAATTCCGTCGAGAGACAATCTAAAGCGGTTGACATGAATTGCTGGAATTACCACCTGAATACACCTTTCAGAGGCGGTTATTTAAACTGCCTGAAACATATATATCGAGGCGATTACGTTAACCGCTTTTAATACTAATTTTGAGGCGGTATACGAGGCGGATATATTAACCGCATTAAAACTAAATACGGAGGCGGTACTCGAAACAGATATTTTAACAACCTTCAAACGGTATACTGAGGTGGTTTTCTTAACCACCTATATTATTTTGGCAGAGGCGACTTTTCTAACCGCCTAATAATGCTTTTCAGGATCGGTTTTGAATACAGCCTTCAAAAGTAATTCGCACGCGATTGGAGGAATCACCTAGATTCATTTTTGGAGGCGGTTATTACCACCGCATCCAATTTCTATACGAAGGCGGTTATTATTCTATATAGGCCGTTGTAATTGAATTAAACCGCCTTAAAACAATATTCTGAGGCGGTTTAGGGTCTGACATAATTAAATATTATTTTTTAATTTTTTTTGGTGAATATATTTATTTTAATTTAATTTTGAGTAAATTTTATTAATTTTTTTAAATCTACATTCTGTGCATTTATTTGAATTTTGTTTCTATTGATATTGTAATATATAAATTGTTCCATTTATAAACATCTTTTGTTAATATACAATTTCGAATAGAAGATTATTCAAAAAATAAATTATTAATAAATCAGAATAAACATTATACATTTTATTAGACATATTAATTATTGTACACACACATATATATATATATATATAATAAAAGGTAATGAAATAAAAAATGAGAATTCAAAAAGAGGAAAAAGACAAAGAATTTACCACAGAACAAAAATATTTCTTATATCCACACACTATTTAATAATTAATTAAAAGTACAAAACAACCATTACCATGTCTCAATCCTTAAAACAAATTCATAATTGTGCCAACATAAAACAACCTCCTAAGTCTATGACAAAATCCAAAATAATCTTCAAGGCTGAGGTGGTGGAGGTGGAACCAAAGGTGATGAATCTGGTACTTCAACATGTGGAGTATGGCTAGCATGAGAAGATCTTCTATGTCCAGGGGAACCCAAATCTCCAACCTGATGATAGCAAGAGCATACATTGTTATTATAGAACAATAAAGTGAATGCAATCATATACAGTTTTTAAAAAATACAATAGTAGTGATGAGACACAGCACTAAGCTGACAACTTAAACAACTTAAAATTTCCCATATTACAGATTGATAGAAGAAAAGCTTACCAAATTGGCCTGTGTAAACAAAGAATTGCAAATTTTCAGCAACATACAAATTAAGCATATTGCGTAGTGGAAAAAAAGGAACAACATACAGAGGCAAATACGAGGGTTTTCTCCATTCAGACCAACAAATGCACACACCAACAAATCCATTCAACCAATAAAATTTGGTTGCAAAAGCTCTCAGTTAGATAAAGCATATTGGATAGAAGGTTATCATCATGAAATTAACATGGGAACGTTCGATGGAAAAATTGTGGGGTTAAATATGAAGTTAACAACCATATATGAAAACAAAAGATATCGGCATTAACCAGAGTATAAATTAAAGGCAACAAAGCTCTACCCCAGACATGCTTTATTAGAGGCAACATCCAAAACCAATACAACAAAACAAGAAATACACTAATTTATTAATATTTACATAATTTTAAATATTTTTTTCGTTTAATTAATAATTTTTTATTAAAATTAAATTTATTTTATACATATCTTTTTTCTAGTTTTATAATTAATTACCTTCCAACTCTTTACCTCCCTAACTTTAATCCTCCGGTCCTCCTTGGTAAGATTAAGATCCTTTATGAAATCATATTTGGAGTACATAGCTTAAGAAGTCGAAGAAGAGAAACTGACCAAAACAAAAAGAAATATGTTAAAAAGAAAGTGACTACCAAAGAAAAATATGCACCACAACACATCCTTTTATAGAGGAAGTATTTCGTTTTTTGAACTAAATTTTATTGTAACAATTAATAACTTAACAATCAAAGTAGTGGGTAATTAATATAGATGTCTGCCACTAATGAATTTTGAATTTTAAATATATTTTTACCCATTTCAAGTTTAAATCTAAAATTTAAAATTGAAAAATTAGTGAGACATTAATACAACTGTCTGCCACTAAGAAATTTTGAATGTCAAATATTATTCCACCCTTTTTAAATATTTTTATTTTCGAATAATAAAAGATTTTCAAAAGAGGTAACTCTTCAAACTGATCTCAAGTGTGAATACAAAGCTGAGAATGAAGGACACGTCAGCATAGTTTCCAATGGTGGGTTTAGGATTCTATATATTAAGATTTTCGAATAATAAAAGATTTCCAAAAGAGGTAACTCTTTAAACTGATCTCAAGTGTGAATACAAAGCTAGCTGAGAATGAAGGACACGTCAGCATAGTTTCCAATAGTGGGTTTAGGATTCTATATATTAAGATGAGACTAATAAAACCCAATATTAAAAGGTGTTAATTATTACAAGTGTTTTTGAGTGAAAGGTAATTATCAGAAATATTATTTTATTTTATAATAATAATAATAATAATAATAATAAATTTAGAGATGGACGAACACTAACTCTAAACCCCACCTTAAGTATGCTCCTACACAATAATTTATTAGGCTATCCACAAATTCACCTCCCTATTTTAAGAAATTGCACACAAGCTTTGATAAATTTGTAATGCAATTAGTCCAACTCAACAATTTAAGTTTAAAAGTGTTGTCAATATTAATAATTTTATATCATACTTTTCTAACAATTTTCTTGCTCATGTAATGAAAATTTATATTATGCTTTTCTTATTAAATTTTTACATATTTTGATAGCGCACCATTTATTTATTATTATTATTTTTGATATACAGGGCACCATTTATTTAATAATGATAGGAAAATAGACACAATTTTTTTAATGGTAAGACCATATAAAAATCCAACATGAAAATATCTTTTCTAATTAGGTTACAATTGAGGGCTTAACATTTAGTTTTTTTTTAAAAAAAAAGAGAGAGTAAAGACCCTTTTTGATCCCTAGTAAAAAACACCGTCCTCACTTTAGTCCCTTACAAAAATAAATTAGTTAGTTAGTCCCTAACAAATTCAAGGTGAACCCATTTTAGTCCTTTTGAGGGACTAATATAGGTCTTTTTTGAATTTGTAAGGGATCATGATTTTAACTAAATGGGTCCACTTTGAATTTGTCAGGGACTAACTGACTAATTTATTTTTGTAAGGAAAAGTGGAGAATGTATTTTTTGTTAGACACTGCAAAAAGTATTTTTTCTTAAAAATATTTAGTTTCTTACAACCGTGGACCAAATCGGTATCGCACATTTTCTAGTTAAGAAAAGGTTTAAAGCCCTAATCGGTCGTTAGTTACAATCTCACTAAACTGAGAAAATAGTGATATGAAGAAGAAATGAATCAGGTACGCACAAATCCAATCCTCATCAATCTCATCTCATCTCATCTCATCTCATCACATCAATCACTAAACCTTGTGCTTTCTTTCCCCGCCAAACTTTGACTGCATTCTCTTCACTCTCTGCTCTCTCCCACTTTATATATTCCTTTTGCATTTGGGTTTTCTACACTTTTCCCATTCTGCTCTGGTATGAACCTGATTTACTTCCACTATTTCTGCAAATGGGTATTCTTTTTTTGCCCATTTTGCTGATGAATTTTCAATTTTTTTTTAATTTTTTAATTTTATTTTATTTTTAACAGATTTTCCGGTTTTCATCTCTAAGTTTATTGGATTCACATATATGATTACACATATTTTTAATTGAGTTATGACAAACCTTTGATTGTTCCACATTAGGAGAACCTACCTTAAACAATGTTAAGAATGCAAACAATGTTAATTGGCTTTTTCTTGGGTTTATTGTGTTTGCTGGTGGATCTTGTCTTAATATTTTTCATACAGTTTGATGTTTTTAGTTAGGGAATTTTTCTTTTGTAGGTGATCAAATACGCATATAGAAGCTCAAGCAGCACAATGTGTTGACTTTGGAGCAAGAAGTTTTTATCAATGGCAGAATGTGTGGCTTCCCCATTCTGTGTTAAGCTGCATATGCAGAGAAGGCCTGTTAGAGACAGAGGCTTCTCGCTTCAAACGACTTTCAAGACTGATCAAAGGTTTTCATTCCTTATTTTTTTTTTCTATTTTCCTGCTTTATATTTATTTATTTTTTAATTTTGCATTTGTTTCTTCCTCCTTGTATGTGTGACTAGCTTTTACATCTTCTTTTTCCTCTCTCCGGCACTCCAAGGAGACACTTGAGTCAGAATTCTGGAGAATTTGCGTATAGTAAATACGGATTATTTATAAAATAGTAAAAACTGCTGAAAAGGAACTATTGAACACTCTTGCCAAAATGGAATATACCTAAATTTTGCCAATCTTTTTATGTGGAGTGGGGTAATATACTACGGGAGTCTTGTGTTTACAACATATAAATTAGTTCTTTAAATTAGAATTGGGACGTGCCATGCGGGTGCAAAAGAGAAAATCCAACATTTTTTAGGTTATGAAAATATTTAATAAAACAGTGTACAATGATAATAAAAAAATTGAGAGAGAAACATGCAAAGTGTTTAACTGTTATAAAATAAAACACAATAAAACTGCACTGGTTGATGGCAGTTGAAACTATTGTGTGTCATGGGTTTTAGTTTTGAAAATTACCCTACATTATTTGTCATTGGTAAATCTTGATTAGTGGCTTTTTAGGCATTTAATAGTTAATGCCAAGAATTGGATTCACCTTTCTTTATTAATATAGATAGAACTATAGTACCTTTTGTAGAAACCAGGATTTTCATTTCTTTGCCTGGTTTGTATTACTAAGATTCTGAGAGTACAACTAGCATTGGTGGATCTGCTAGTTCACCCAGTTTTATTTATAATTATGTTGATTAGGTAGGAAGTATCACTTTCCTGTTTTAATACAATCAGCGGTGATTTTTTTTTTTTGCTTTTTATATCTGGTTATGAATTTGGTAGTTTGATCCTTCAATATTTACCTCTTGTTGCAGAAAGTATTCCAGAAATGCATGTAAATATGGTCACTTCTCTAAACAGAAAACGTTTGAGCTGAGTGTATTTGGGGCCACAGATTTGAAAATTAGTCCTCGTCTTCAGGCAATCCCCTTAAAGTGCATTGGCTTAGGGGCTTTGGTTGACTTTGATGGTGCAACAGCCTCTGATTTGGTGCCACTTGTTGACCAGGTGCTGTTGATGGGCAGTATATTTCTCACTTATATGGCTGGAGTAATTCCTGCTGAGAAATCGTATACAAGTTATCAAAAGATCAATTCTAATAAAAATGTGTTTCCTGAAAGATCAGACATTTCTGGTAGGTAAGGGTAAGCATGTCAAGATGTTAAGGTTGAATATTTTTATAATTTTACATGGATGAATAATTTGTTTGGTTCTTGGAGAAAGGATTATAGTTCATTTCTAATTACTCGAGAGTTGAGAATCTTTGTCTCTTTTGCAGTTCAGAGAAGCAAAATTATCGAGTTGAGTCAAAGTATGTATTGAGTGTGGTGAGAGGAAAGCTTTTGAATTCTCTGAATGCTTTAGAGCATGAGGCTTATTCAGGAGACATCATCCTTCAATCTGCAAAGCGACCCTTGAGTTTAAATGCTGTTGGTGAGGGTCCAAAGTTAAGGTTGCTTTGGGCTGCTTTTCAGCATGTTGAGCAAGAGGCAGGAATTGGCTTTATTTTCTCCTTTCAATATTGTGAAATGCATGTATTATGTTATGTTCATGAAATCTGGAATTTTGACTAGTTTGGATGAGCATTGGGTCTGTTCTAATAAATGCTTGACATGTATTTTCTGACTAAAGATATCTCAGAAACCGTTCTTTTTCTTAAGCGGAAGTGTTCAAGAGTGAACAAGTCTAAAGCAGGAGATATTTTTCTTCTTCGCAAAATTTATTTGAAAGAAATCATAAAGAATGCTGTGTAACTGTTTTCTGTAATATCCGAACAATTTATTTAGTACATTACTTACTTCCTTCTAGTATGTAGATGGATCAGCAATTTTGAACTTAACTAAAAGACTTGGCGATTAATATGTTTTCATCAAATTAAAAATCAGTCCCAGAGTTTGATTCTTTATATAGTTTTTAGCTAAATTTTTTCCTTGTATAGTTTATTTCTGAACTAAAAAATGCAGGTCAATGTGATTAAGTAGGTGTAAGCTATTTTTACAATTATTTTAATGCTGTTATCAATTGTTTTAAATTTGCTTTGCAGGTTAATAATATATCAAGCATTTCCAGATCTGTTGGTATGGATGATCTGTTCAGAATGTTTTCTGAAGTTATTCAAAGATCCTGTCATTCTATCTGTGTTACTTGGCTGGAAGAGGAATTTTTCCTTCTTAAAGGCAATGCCAACAAGGTATTTCTTGAAAGTAAATGTATTACTCAAGACTCAACTTATGTCCATACATCATGCATATGAATAAAGTACTGATCTAGGTTGCACACAACGGATAAAGTAAAAGGTAGGGTATAGATACAGGAGGATATATTAATAGAAATATAAAAAAATTAACAATAAATTAATCAAATTATTAGATAAATTCCATTTCCATAATGTTCTAATTTCAAGTTTTCAACAAAGTTCCATAAAGTATATCAAGTTAGCAAAGATACGTTCTGAAGGTATGAAGCAACAATTCTTTCATTTAGTAGCAAGCCAAGCAAAGTAGCAATACTTGGTGTTTTTCTTGGATTGGCTTGTATTTGGGTGATATAGGCTCATTGTAATGCTTGACCAAGATGTATTGATTGAGAAATTTGATAAAAGAAATTAAGTATCCATGTGTTCCAATAATTATCCACCCCAAATACATCCATGATATCGCAATCATTTAGGAGTACCCAGGTTTCATAGATACTGATTTTACTTCTTTGATTTTATTGTTAGAAACTTGCATCTATGATACTTGAAAAAGTAAAAGGAGATAGCACTATTGTACAGAGCATTACAAGGTCTGGCAAGAAAGACCTATATTCAGAATTACTGTGGTATCTTACTTTTGGTTCTCTCAGGTAAAGTCAACACCATTTTTCTTTGCACTTTTTGGGTTTCTTCGGGGTTCTATTTCTAATATAATTTCATTGTATGCTATGAAGCATGGATGCTCCAAATGATTTGAATATGCATGGTTGATACTCATCCTGATTGGCCCTTGGCATTTAGTTGCCTTTTTATGATCTTTAAATTATAATCAACTCGTCTTTTCTCATGTATCTGGTCAATTGCTAATCACTTTTCAACTAAGTAACATGAATGCTAGTTTAGGTGAGTTACCAATGGGCACAAAACTTGTAGATTAGTTTTCTTTTCTTATAAGCAAACTGGTAAGAACCTTAGGGATGCACCACCTCAAAAACTAGCTCAAAAGGTGAGAGTATCCAAGGCCTTATAAACCCTACGCGGGCTGGCTTTGTGCTAGTCTTTTATTAGCCCCGGGCGAACACTGCAATATCAGCGTCACCACTCGTGCCGCTCGATTGCAACCGAGAGACATAATAGAAGGCTCTAATACCATTTGATAAGAACCTTGGGATGCACCACTCCAAAAGCTAGTTCAAAGGGTGGGAGTGCGTAAAGCCTTATAAACTCAATATTAGTTGCCGATACAACCATTGTGGGACTTTAAGTCCCATACCTTGCAAATGAGATCGTAACACAAACCTGTCCTATTTTCATGAGGGCTTCTGTTGATATTGTCATTTGTGTAATATTTTCTAGTTTTTCCCCATGGAAATGTAAACAAAAGAAAGAAATATTTTAGTTTCATGTCCTATTTCCTTGCCCTGAAAAAATGTTGAGTGGAAAAGAATGCTGTTTGTGCGGTGGAGTATCTGATGTATCGGCCACTGCATGATTTTGAGCGCCTAGGCTTACAGATTTGGCCCTGGTCTACAAAGGAAAACCTGTTTTGGACATAGTAGTTAATTGCGGCGCGAGCCGCGCCGTATGGGCATTGCGGTGCCTCGCCGCAAGAAGCACCGAAACACAACAGTGGCCATTGCGATCGCATTTGCGGCCATATTGCTGTCATAAGGCAAAATGTCAATTTTGTCCTAAATTTTAATGTGTAACAAAAAAAAATTAAGGGTTTTTTTAGCCTATCAGCGTCTCTCTCTCACTTATGCTATATCTGCCTTTAAGAAATGTTTCTTTTCGTCATTATTTCTGTCATATATCTATTCCGCTATTTCAGCAACCGCAATCCGCTATAGCGGTATAGCGTTTTTCAGGGTTGGCCGCGACATGCCGTAACCCGCATTTGATAATTATGGTTTTGGATTGATAATTAGTGTCCATATTGGAGTAGTTACCCTTTCTTATTATATTAAGCTAATTTTATTAGTTCATGATCATGTTATATGTTTTCATTTAATTCACTGTAGCTTTTAAAATTTATTTTTTAATATAATCTTTTAATGTAAGACACTCACCAGTTGTCCATCTTTTATCAGGGAGGATTGCTGTTATGATTCCTGTATATTTGCTTTGCATGGGATTTCCATATTGGAAGATTTAGTGATCACTCTTGTAGATGGGGTTGCAAGCATATATCTTGAGTTTATTTCTGTTGATAGTGATGTGTCTAGTGAAACAAATAGCTTGGACATGTCATTCTGTGCTTTGTCCACCAGAGAACTCCAAAAGTTGCGTAATGAGGTACTATAATGGTGTTGTTTTCAAATTTCAAGCTTATGGATCTTGTTTCTGTTGTTTACCCATATTGATTATTTTCCATTCGGTCTTCCAAATTTTGACTTGCGAGAACTGAATGTGGATTCTCTTTTGTCAAAAGTTTCTGTTAAGGTTCCTCAAAATGATTTTTTTCCCCCCTGATAAAATGTAATTATTCACTTCTAAAAAATTTCCCTTGTTGCAGTATATGGTTAGGAGCTATAGCAGAAATCTGTTCTTAAAATCAACTGAACTGGAATTGTCCGTTTTCTTTTTATCTTCCAATCACTTCTGTTTCCCTAATATTGTATGGTATAGGGAGAGGGCAGGGGATATTGACAATTTGCATTTGCTCATTCAGTCATGGTTAACATTTTTGTCATATCCTACCAAGCAAAATGATTACATCTTGAAAATGAAAATTACAAATTTGTAGCCTGGATTCTATAACATGTTAATTCATTATTTGTGTAGATTATACATATGTAAATTATGATGATCTTTTTAAAAAAGGTTCTTTATAGACATAAAAATATGTATTCTATGGATTATTTTAACAAATTAATGTGAGAACACATGATATATGTTTAATAGCGTGGTCTGTTCTCCATTTATTAATTAACACTCTTTCAGAGGCAAATTGATTGTTATTTTAATGTACCTTCCTCATATTAGCTGAATTCACAAATAATTCTTTAGACATTCCTTTTGCCAGTGTCAACTATGCTGGTTGTCATCAAAATATTATTATTGGCCAATGGCCATAATGTTTTTTTTTTTTTGATAAAATGGAGGGCCTAGCCCAGCAACACTATATTAATAACTTTTGCATGCTCAAAGAAGCATGCTCCACCAGAAAATTTGTACAAAAAGCATTCCAAGAGGGTAAAATGCTATCAGGGGGAGAGGTAAAAAACAGCATCTCAATCCCTTCCTGTTTGAAACCTAACTTTGCTAACCTATCTGCACAATCATTCATTTCCCTAGGAACGAAACTCTACAGGATTTGAACAAAGCTATCAGCAGTACTCTTAATTTCATTACAAATGGAATCAAAACAACCATAATCAGCTTGATCTTCCACGCACTGGAGTGCTTCTTTGCTATCACAGCAAAGCCAAATTCTTTTGCATTTTCTGTCACTTGCAAGCTTTAAAGCATGCAGAATTCCTTTAAGCTCAGCTTCTAGTGGAGAACAAACTCCAATTTTCAAAGAAAAGCCTCCAAGCCACTCCCCCTTGTAAGAAACTAGGAAGCCACCACAAACACCTATACTCGAAAGGGAAATAACAGCTCCATCAACATAGATTCTGGTAACATCCTGCAAATCAAATAAATCAGAGCCAAAGGGAACAGCTGATGGTGAAAGACAGGGAACAAAGGGGTCAGCTTTACTGAATTTCTTCATATCAGTAAGAAAATTGAGAATTTTGAAAACTGGGTCAGGAGGCCAAATGAAAAGATCCTCATGGACAGAGGCATTTCTCCACTGCCACAAAAACAACAGGTAATAAAAAAAACTTCTTTCCAAGTGTACCAAAGCTTAGTAGAGAAAGAATTTTCCAGGTTAAGTCTAAACCACTCCAGGCCACTTGTAGTCATGAAATTAATAGGAATTGATCCCTTAAACCAAGTTTCCCATATCACTTTTGCAGCTTTACAATCTCGGAGGGTATGCATAAGGGTCTCCTCATCAGTGAAACAAATAGGGCATCTGATCTCCCCTTCACCCCAAGCACTGGTTCTACTCCTGACAGGCAATTTGTTTAAACAAGCTAGCCAGATGAAAACAGCAACCTTGAAAGGCCCTTTCCATTTCCAGATGGATACCCAAATTCTATCTTTCTCAACATCACAATTCATCATCTGATCATATGCAGTCTTCACAAGGGATTTCCCAGGCCTTCTATTTTTCAAAACCAGTCTATCACCAGGCTTGCTGCAACTAGGAGGAGGAAAACTATCTAGCTCAGACAGAACAGAATTATCAAGAAACTTCTTCAGATACACCCAGTTCCACTCTCCTGAGTTCTGGTCTACAAGATCAAAAACTTTAAGTTCTAAATCAGAGATAGGTGGCTTAGGAGAAGCCATCTCAAAAAGGTTCTCATTCCCAATTCCCCAGCTGTCCAACCAGAAAAAAAGATCCTTGCCATTACCAATCTCCCATTCTAGATAAGGATCCAACTTCTCTCTGGCAGCACAAATACTCTTCCAAAGGGAAGAATCACTCCTTCTAGCAATCAGCTTATGCTTAAGGGTTCTGTTTTCAGCCATATTTGCCTAGCAAGACCTTGGCCCATAAGCTCTCCTGATCATTGAGTAACTGCCAAGCTACTTTCTGCATGCAGGCTATATTCTGCACTCTCAGATTAATGATACCCAGCCCCCCACACTCCTTAGGACAACACAGCTGGTCCCAGGCTACATAGTGAGCTCTCCTCTTATCCTCGGAGTCACCCCAAATGAAACTACGTTGCATCTTTTCTATATCCTGACAGACATGAGCAGGAAGGGTGTTATTCTGCCTGCTAACGATAAGCATTTGGTTTTCCACCCTTGTAGCCAATTTTGGACTCTACTAATCACATCAGCATAGTGATTTTTCCCAGCTCTTCCATGTCTCATCAACACTCCCAAATACCTACCAAGATTTTGTTCACCTTCTTAAAGCCACTAGCCTTAGAGATAAGTTCTACATCATCCGGATGAGTATTTTTAGAGAAAAATATGCAGGTTTTCTCTATACTCACACATTGACCTGACATGCTGGAAAACATCTTTAAACAGGTTAAGATGCTATTCAGTTGACTGAGAGAAGCTTAAGCAAAAAGCATGACATCATCAGCAAATAACAGGTGAGATACATAAGGACCTGTTTTGCCAGCCTTGATTGGAATCCAGTTCTTCTTTTCCACTTCATCTTGGATTAAGTGGGTGAGTTTTTCCATGCATAATACAAAAAGGTATGGGGATAGAGGGTCCCCTTGCCTTATTCCCCTTTGAGGCTGAAAACCCTGCGTTCTAAACCCATTCCAGAGAATCTCAAGATGAGAGCTAGAAACACATCCCATGATAGCTCTAATCAAGTCTTCAGGAAGTTTCAAATCTTCAAGCACGACTCTAATGAACCTCCAATTAAGCTTATCATAAGCTTTCTCTAAGTCTATTTTAATAGAAAAAAAACTTTTCCTCCCTTTCATCCTGTGCATTGCATGTATAAGTTCTTGAGCAATAATGATGTTATCCTGGATGTGCCTCTTAGGAACAAAACTAGTCTGATTTGGGGATATGACATTACCCAGGAAAGGCTTGATTTTATTCACCAAGATCTTGCTTAGCCCTTTGTAGACAGAGTTGCATAACGCAATAGGCCTGAACTGCCTCATCAAAGAAGGCCTATCAACTTTAGGAATAAGGGTAATAAGTGTTTGATTAATATCCCTAATCTGGTCAGGATGCAGAAGATAATTCTGGATGCAATTGAACACTTGAGATTTAATCACTTCCCAATTCCTTTGGTAGAACAAAGTTGGGAGCCCATCCGGTCCAGGGGCTTTTAAAGGAGGCATTTGAAAAAAAACACTTTTAACCTCTTCAGCAGAAATATTAATAGACAGCTGGGCAAGCTGATCCACACTCCCATTCGGCCAACTGCTTCCAGTAGATATCCAGGTAGGGTCCTCTAGATTCTCCTTGAACAAATTCACAAAAAAAACCCTAGCTAGGGCTATAAGCTCCTCTTCACCAGTCACCCAACCACCTTTGTCATCCTGGAGCTTTAAGATTTTATTTCTGTTCCTACGAATTAGAGTGCTTGTGTGATAAAACCGAGTGTTTCTGTCACCATCTCTGGTCCAATCACCTCTAGATTTTTGGTACCAAATCTGCTCCTCTTGATCTAGGATCTCTTCAAGCTCCTTCCTCAGCTTACATTCCAAGTCTTCAAGCTGAGAACTATTTTTGTAATTGAGTTGCCTTTGAATACCTTCCATTCGGGCTATAACTCTATTTTTTCTGAAATGAGTAAACCCAAAAATGTTCCTATTCCACTCCTTTAGCAAAAGAATGAAGGTGTTCATACTCTCTAGCAAGCTGGTCTTGTGATCCCAATTGTCCTTGAGAAAAGAACTGAATCTTGGGTCATTCTGCCAAATGGCCATAAACCTAAAAGGCCTATCACACCAACTGGATTCCTCTTTATCCATTCTAACTAGAATATGATTGTGATCTGAAAACAGCCTAGGTAACACTAGGACCTCAGCATCTTTGAAATTAGCTCTCCATTCATTATTGGAAACAGCTCTATCTAATCTCTTGTAGATTCTGTCTAGATGGAGAAATTTGGGACCCTTCCAAGTAAACCTATTTCCCCCACCTCCCAGATCCAGCACGCCACAGGCATCCAGCACCTCATTAAACTTTTTGCATCTATTAAAATCAACTGGTCCCCCCCTCTTTTCAGCAGGAGAAGAAATCTCATTGAAGTCACCAGAAATCATCCAGGGGTCATTCATAGTTCTTCCCAAGTGTTTCAGTTCCTCCCATAACACTATCCGCTTCCCTTCTTGAGGGCTAGCATATACAGCCGTTCAGAAGAAACCTTTCATACCAGGAAATTCTACCCAAACATGAATAAATTGATCATGGGAAACTTGGAGAGTTACCTTTACATCTGTAGGGTTCCACTCTAACCAAATCCCACCAGCAAATCCTTTAGCATCAGCAACTATGTAGTTGGAGAAGCCCAAACTACGAATTATGCTAATGGCTTTCTTCCCACTAACTCTAGGCTCTAAAATTGCAGCCACACCTACTCCATGTTTCCTACAAAATCTGTTAAAAGTGCTTTTAAATTGCTTCTTAGCAGCACCTCTACAGTTCCATGTCAGGACATTCATTGTAAAATTTGAGGTTGGTGCAAGATTTCTGAGTTCTTGCTACTCCAAACTTGAGATTCATCATTAGATTCCTGACTTAAATTCTCTCCACCATCACAACCAGGCCTAACAGTAATCATGGCATTCCTAGGATCAAAACATAAAGAGGGATCCAATCCCATACTTGACAAAGATTCCACCGCTTTTGCTTCTTCTCCCATAACAAGATCAGGGGGGTCAGGTTCTTTCATTGGATCATCTGCTTTCAAGCTGCCATCAAACTGGATACTGCTAGGGACAGGAATGTTAGCAACAACAATCAGTTCATCTTCAGCCATCATCAAGTCACTCCACCTGTTACTCTTCTGCTGGCCGAAAGTTGACTAAATAGGTTTCTGAGAAGTTTTCTGAACTGAATTGCTGCCAGGGGAGAACTTGGCATGGAAGCTGGCCACAACTCCTTTCCCTTCACACCTTGGGTCTTAACAGTACTCTTCTTCAAATACTGAGCTACAGATTTAGTTCCTGGGTTGCTCTTAACAGCAGTGGAAGCTGCTGCTGTAAACTCCATCCCCACCGGAGATTGCTGGCTACTTTTCTCAACAGAGACATTCTCCTTGTTCACCTTCAAACTAGAAGAACCAGTCTCAGGATTCTTTTCCACACCATTTTTTTGTACAGTTTTCTCACCTTTCACTCCTGGTTTAGAGCCAACCAGGTTCTTCCTATTGGATAGATCCTCTCCAAAAGTTCTATTACTGCCATTATCCATTTTCTGAAAATTCTGTGGGCCTTTCCTTCTACGTTGAACAACCATCCACGGTCCTACACCCTGAGGGCCAGAGTTTTCCCTTGGCTGATCTTGAGTCTCATCAGCTCGAAGTGGAGATTTTGGTCTAGCAAATTCAGGACAAGAGTCCGAATTGTGCTCGTACTTCCCACATTTGAGACAAATAAGAAACAACCCCTCATACTCAACTTTCTTCGTACTCCCATCAATGATATATTCTCCTCTTAAAGGAGCTGACAGATCTAGTTCGATACAGACTCTTGCGAATCTAGCTCTATCCCCAGTTGAGGTGGTTTTATCCACCTTCAGAACTTTACCAATTACAGATCCCAAGTGATTCAGAAATGGAAAGTCGCAATACTCTTGGGGTATACCTGGTAATCGCACCCATGCCGCAACCTTGTGTATATTGGCTTTGTCCGGATCAAAGCAGGGCTCCCACTTTCTTGTAGCTAAATAATGGCCCAAGATGACCCAAGGGCCTCCCATAATGGCAAGATTAAGGTCTTCAAGGTTGCTGAATCTCACTGAGTAAAACTCATTACCAAGGTCCGCAACTGTAATGCTACCCGCTTTCGTCCACAAGGTTTCTAACCTCTTCTTCATGAACCCAACCCCAACTTTCTTCCCCAGCAACTTCACAATCAGAGCATTTTTCCAGCGTTGTTCATCCTAGCTCTAGCTTCTTTATTGCTCTTGATCTCCACAGACCCATCCTCCCTTACCACTGTCTGAAAATCCCACTCCGAGATCACACCCATGCAAGGGTCCAGGGGCTCCAGATCTGGTTCATCCTCTACAGTAAGCCAAGGCAAAGCATCACCTGACACTCCATTCTCCACACCTGTTACATTTGCAAAAGATCGCTGCTTCTCGATCACCGGAGTACCAGACTGGTACTCCTTCACCGTCTCCCTCATCCGAGCTTCAGTAGGAATCTCCTCACCATTCTTAGTTCGCTTCGTGCTTCTTCTCGACAAAGACAACAGATCACAGTTACCAGAATCCTCCTTTCCCATGGAGAAGGAGAAAGAAAGAGCTTCAAAGAAAAAATCGCTGAAAGAACCCTAACAGAACGAAAAAAATCGTGCGTGTGGCAACACTCGCCTGCTGGGTTTTTTTTAAAATCACTACAAGACACAACATTACCTATGGCCATAATGTTTTAGTTGGTTCAAGTTTGTGGTGAATTCAAATAGATTGCCCCCAACATGTTGGGATTAGGGCTTTGTTAACTGTCTGTCTTTAGGAATCAGTGCCAGGCAAATTGAGAGTGCTTCAGGTTCTTTTTTGGCATCCCAGATAAGGGCAGAGTCAAATGGAAAGTGTCATGCTTTGTGAGGAGAAAGTTTGGCTGTAACTTGGAAAATAATGAAATAAGATTTCATTCCTTTTTCAGATGTACACTTTTTACTTTTGATATTCTGCTATATATTTTAAATTTGGATGAAATTTCACCAAGACTTTCTATGACACTCTTGTAATCAGGTGGCTTTGAACCAGTGGTTGTACCATAACATGGACACAGTTGTGTCAATGTACGAGGATCGCATTGACCTGCGTACTCTTGAGAGCCAACCCATCGATCTACCGGAAAATAGTCAGACTGAAAAACAAAGTTGGTGGAAGAGGCTTACCCGGCAAAATTCAAAAACCATTTCACCTGAATTACATTGCATTGTGATAAGTCATTTCTCAATGCCTGTAAAGCGGACCAAGGAATTAAGAGCCCTGACTGGATGGTATGTTTTCTTGTCACTCTATCTATTTAGGCTTAAGTCCTGGTCCCTGCGTTTCACGCTATGTTCATTTAGTTGCGGCTTGTCCAAACTTTTCAATTGAGTTCCTTAATTTTCCATTTATGCATAATGTAGTCCTTATTGCCAACTGTTATCTAATTTAGATTGTTTGGTACCTGCTTTGCTAATATTTGATGATATGTTGGGTTTAACTTGCCAAGTATTGGTCACTACTGGCTACTGTTGGGTTCAAATTAAACTTCTAAATGCTCAACAAATGATATTTACCTTATATATTTTAGCTTGTCAGCTGGAAGTGTTAGAATTGAAACTTCCAACGTTGAACACAGTTGGTAAATTAAGGGTCTAAATTTGGGAAAGGTAGGGACTAAAATGAACATAGTATGAAGATATAGTGTTTTTGGATTAACTTATTTTGTATTTAAACCAACTTATAATCAAAATTTCATTAAGAGAGATTTTTGAAAAAGAAAGCTATTATTGTCTAAAAAAAGAGTCAAATCCAAACATGCTCAGAGACTAAAAACTTAACTAAGCCGTTCATTTTTGTTTGTTTTAAGCATGACAAAAATTGCTAACAGCTAATAAATTTACATTCTATTAGACAGTTTCCTTGCAGGAAACTCAGAAAAATTCGCTTTTACACTTAGGAACTTTATTTAACGTTGAAAACATTTTAATTTTTTAATTTTGATGTGCAGCATTGTATTCCCATTAGGATTTAGAGTTTGGTGCCAAAGAGGCTATCATGCTTTACATTTTGTTCATATGTTGTAAGGTTCCAGAGAACATTAGTCATGGTTTGGTGAGCAAGAGTGCATTTATTTTAAAATTTTAGTGGATTAAGACTGCAATGTATTTTAAATTTAATCTGTTAGAAACACCTTTATTTGTTCACTTTAAAGACAAATTCAATTTAGAAGAGTTTTTTTTTTTTCCAGTAAATCTAATTGCTGTATATTTATGTATTACAGGCGGTATTACTTCAGCCTTTTCCTTGAGTTATCTGACATCACCATGCCCCTTATTAGAACAGTTATTGATAAAGTGAGTGATGCTATCTCATTCTTTTTAGTTAGCTTGATTGGGAGGTCTTTGGGACTCATTTATACTGGCATTAGGCAGTCCCTCAGATGGAAGTGAATTAAGTGCTACAGTTTTGTGTAGTGCAGTTATTTTTTTGCCCCATAATTCTGTTTCATTTTGCTTCTTATATATGGTGGCGTTTATGATAGAAAATTGTGGTTTAGGACTTTAGATTCAATCAAATTGGAAAATTGCATTGCTGTCCTTTGGTCATGTGAGGCTTCAATGGTTTATAAATCTGAAATGCTAATTCATCTTGAGATAATCTCATTTCATGGTTGGAATATCATTTTAATATAATAGGGAAGGCTTTTCTATCTATAATTTGCTACCTTTGCATTTTGGATTACCCGATTTAGATTCAATCAACAATCAAATAACACTTGCAAATATCAAATTTCTGGGGTTAAACATTACGTATTTATCTGGGTTAACTCATGTTTTTGGAAATATCTATAATTATAATATTTTACTGAGTTTTTTTATTTAAAAATATTTTAGTCTAAAAGAAGTTAATCCAAAGATAAACCAACTAGACCAAAGCGATCAGGATGTGGCACAAACACTTCGTTTCAGGTGAAATATATTTAAGTTTTTGCTTTGTGGATTGATGATTGTTTCATGATTCATTTAGTAGAACAGGCATTTTCATTTGATATTAACGGGGCGTTTGGTAGAGGAAAATTTTGTATTTCCCCGAAAATCATAATTTCTTGAAATATGGTGCGAAAGTGAATTATCCAGAAATGTGACCGAAAAGTTGTTTGGTAAGCAAAATTTTTACCAGAATTATTGGATTAATTTTTCTAAGTTCATGTTTGGTAGGTAGATTGTAAAATATGAATGAATATTGACTGAAATTACAATGATATCCTCCATTTTGAATAATCAGCATTCAACGTTTATTTGGCTTGAAGTCTGTGTCTCTCTCAAATCGATTTTCGTTCTTATGTGGGTGTGATGCCAAGAGGATTACTACTCTCATACCTTGTTCTTTGTAGTTTCTTTTTTTTTTTTTTTTTTTTTCCTTTCTTGTTTTGGTTGTTGGTTCTTGTTCCCCCAGAGATAATCTCGCAAAAGCACTCTTGGACTTCGATCAGCCATTCTTGTTTTTTCTTTGCTTTATTTTCAATCATCCTTTAAGAAGCACACACTGCAGCATCTGCACCTCCAACTGTAGTTGTCCTATTTTTTTTTATCCTCTCATAGCCACGATGCTTCTTTCTCAGGGTTATTTTCGTCTATTGTTAGCGCTTCTTTCTCTATTTTCTCGAGAAACAAAGAATTTCAACAAAAGTGTGGTATTTTGAGTTTGGCATTTTCATCTAGTTTTGCATATAATAAGGAAATCCGGCAAAATAGGCTATGTTTGATTTCTGTTTTGCAAAAGTTTTTTAGTTTTCAGAACAAAAAAACCAAAACACTCGTTTGGTAAGACTTGTTTTGTAAAAAATGTTTTGAAAACTATAACTGTTTTTTAGTTTTTAAAATCAAATTTAGAGAACATGTCTGAGTTATTTTTGTTTTCTGTTTTGGTTTTTAACTTTCAAAAAGAAAAAAATATAGAAAACAACTGTTTCCATAATTATTTTACAAAACAATTTTAAGAAAAAAAAACCAAAACACAATCAAATAGGCCCTTAAGTTTTCCCGGGTAATTTTTCAATTTTTTCCTACCAAATATTGCAATCTCAGAATTCCAACCTCAGAATACCAGGCATTTCAAAATTTTCCTCTTACCAAAGAACACCTAAGAAGAATGGAATAATATTACATTCACGTCCCATTCATATAATCAAGAATTTTCATTTCCTCTCATGTGGGATTGGTGACTTCAAATGAGATATATGTACTTATTATTTTTCACATGTTTTCATTTAGTTTATAGAACAATAATTATTATCCTTTATTGATTTCATACTAATCTCAATTTTGTTTTTAAATTCACTCTAACACACTCTTTGTGTCTTGAAATTTAAATTAAGCAATGTTTAAAAGAAGAAGAATAATTATGTAAATGTGTAAAAAGATTATAAAACACAGCAATACAGTGAAACAAACAGGATGTGCATGTCAATTATTTTGTTTTCTGACCTATTTTTATAGAGAATATTTTGTGCTTATAAACAATTTTGGACAGAAAAATGTGTTTGATAACACACATTCTATCACGTGTCTATTTAATAAATAGAGTTTTTTTTATTCTAATTTTTAAATCTAGATAACATGATATGATTTGTATATTTAGTAAATAATATGTTCGGGAACAGAATTTTTTTTATTCTTGGGTTATCGATTTAATTTTTGGAACAGAAAATAAATTGATTTTATCAAATACAATATACAACCAATTATACTTTTAAGACTAAAATTGAATAAAATTATTTTTGGAAATGTTGTGATGGATATGTTATCATCTCAAAGACCATAAATGAAATATTATAAAAAAGTATGAAGTATTTTATTTAAAACATTTTACACGGTGGTAAAGTTGTGGGACGTGTGAAATGAGAATATTTAAAGGGAAATTATTTTTTTATGTAATATGATAGTGTTATCTTATGCTGCAGATACATCGACAAATGTATTTTTTATTTATTTTTTATTTTTTTAACACATGGTGGGACCCACCATGTGTTGGGTCTATGACATGAGAGGAATATCTCCTTCAACATGAGATTAGATGCTCCCATATTTAAATCATGAAATCCACTCAGCTCCATTTTCTTTACTTTTTTCTCTTCTTTTTAGCATTGGGCTTCGTAAGTGTTTCCCCCAAAGCCCACATTGAAAAGTAAAAAAAACGTTGGATACAGTTCAATTTTCTTTCACAAAATAAAGAAAACTATATACTTCTTTTAACCATTTTCTATTATCAAGTTATATAAAATGAAATTCAATCCATATGTTATATATATGGATTTCCAATGGCACAGCGATGACTTCGTTCCTCAATGCTTGTGTTGCAACAGCAAAGGCAAGTGGTAGCACAACCAGACCTATGATGGTTAATGAAATTTGATGCTACATCTTGTGAGTAAACTTGCAGGTTAATTATGCTGCTTTTGATATGGTTATTTTATCCTTGAAACATATGTAATTTAATCCCTTCTAACTCCAAGGGTGTTCAATGGTGAAGCTTTACTAGTTGGACTTACTAGTTGAACTATATTTCCTTTATATGAAGCTGATTTTGGATGGGGAAAACCAACATGGCAGGTAGTGTTTGTTTACCTAATGAAAATTATATAAAAATTGATGCCCACATGAAACGGGAAACAAAGAGAGGCATAGCTAGGTGAACTTGAATAAGTAGGGCATGGCCCCAATTTTAGGGCAATCCAAAGCTTCTTCTATATGCATGTATCACTTGCTTCTAATTCCTATAACAAGCATGGAAATTTCGAAATGGTGAGTGTGCATGCCCCAATTTGCTCTTTGGTTCGTCCTTCAAATAAAGAATTTGGAATTGTTAGATGTGTATCATATCAGGAATACATACCTCTCTTGTTAGATTTTCTTTGGTTTTTGTTATATATGTGAAAAATTTGGCTTTATGCCTCTTGATAGATTTTTACAAAATTTGATAGGCTCTTACTTATTTAATAGGGAAATAAAAGTATAATGTTGTAAGAAAGTTGTTAGATTATATTATAGAGATAGAAATTATATGAGATCCATGTTATTTATTTTTTTTTGAAAACAAATTGGTCCTACGATCTCTATCTCTATAACATTATACTTCTTTATCCCTATTTAATATCCACCAAAAGAAAGATTTTTTTTTTTGATAAAGCACAAGTATCCTAAACATGAGACAATTATGTTCGGGACAGATTCATGATTAAGGTTTTAAACCCTTCAGAAAGATGGTACTGGGGAGGAACCACCAAAACAAAGGTAAACATAAATTTTTTAATTGTGTTCCTTATCATGTGAAAATCTGACATTATATTTTTCATTCGCACGTTATTTCTAAGATTTAAAGTGAATGTACTTTTAATTTCATCGATGAAGAATTTCATTCAACGAATTTAGACTAATTATGGAATTATAAAGATAATATTTTATCTGTTAGTACAAGTAGGTTACCCGACAATGATATCTTGATATCTTGTGAAGATTAGTTCATGACATACGTGACAAAGAGAGGTAACTAAATCTGAAAGGGAGTCATCACCCATTTTTATTTGATTGGAGACATGATTGCAAAACCTTTTTGATAGAAAAAGAGTCTTCAGATCCCAACCAAATTTAACCATGCATAAGATGGATTACCCTACCAAACATGCGTACCAAATCTAACAATTAGGGATATATGAACTGTACAACATCTTTCGAAACCCTCAGGGGTGTTTGGTAAAGGAGAAATTTTTTGATGTCTGGGAACCATGATTACTAGAAATATGGTAGGAAAGTGAATTATCAGGGAATGTTATAAAAAAGCTGTTTGGTAGGCGAAAATATTACTGGAATTTTTTAGTTAATTTTACTGATTCTTTGTTTGGTTGATTGTAAAATATTAATGGGAATGAAGGATATTTTACCAAAATAACCCTGTCGCTTTATCTTTCTTATTGTGATGAATGAGACTCTCTTTCTCCTTCTTTGTTCCCTTGTCCTCTCATGGAAGAAGGATGAGTTCAGAAACTGCAACCAGACCCCATTCTGCAAGTGAGCTCGATTCCGCAACCCTGGTCCTCCTCCCTCGTTTCCACCGATGACTCCATCGTCGACGGCGACCTCACTGCCAAGGTCATCTCCAAAGAGAAAGCAAGGGAGGTATTCCAAATCCTATCATCCGCTATTGGAACGAGAAAGAAGGAGGAAGGGTAGATTTGTTCCGATGTCTCCATTCATGGTCTCGCACGGGAGGGGTTCTTCTGGTTTCTTCCGGTTGAGTGCTGCTGAGATGCAACAAGAAAGCAAGGGTAGATTTGTCCAATAAATTTAATGTGAAAATCCTATCACCCGCTATTCCACAATTACCACCCCTCAGGAGGTATTTTGAGAAGGGGGATTTTAACACAATTTACACATAGACGTAAATCTTGGGCAAATTTGATATCTGGGAAAATTTTGCAAAAACTCCTAACAAACATGGGTAAATACAAATCCTACTATCACTTTCCTGGCATTCTACAAAAAAAGTACCCCTACCAAACAGCCCCTCAAAGTCATTCATTTTACACGTATATATCATCTTCCTTTTACCAAATCAAATTACCAAATTGTCAGTGGTCTCTATAAATCCCACATAACAAATATAT